TTCAGCTCTAATTGAACCACAGTGAAGAAATGTATTCAGGAATGAATCAGGCAGGGATGAGTCAAGGTGAAAAAGCCTGCTGCAAATAAGGGCATAACCAAGCTGCTGGCATCAGCAGGCATCTGTGTGCACAGCTTAAGAAGTGCAGGACTGTTTAGGTAAAGAGCTCTTTACCCATTCCACTTGGGCACAGGTGAGATTTGCTACCCCAAGTTCTTTTTTGTTCAGTTTTTTTTTTTTTTTTTTTTTTTTTAAGACAGCATCTTGCTAAGTTGCTGAGGCTGACTTTGAATTTACAATCCTCCTGTCTCAGCTCCACTTGGCTTGACCCTTAAATTCTTGCATCATATTGAGTCAGGGCTCAACTTGTCTGTCCACAATTTTTTACTATTCTCCTGTATCTGCCAGTAAACTAAAAGTATGTGTGGGCTCTCACTTCACCCATCTCATGTAGGAAGGTTATTCTGATGCCCTTAAACTTTTCCCCCTGTATTTCCTGCTTGCTGATTCTTAATGAATTTCTAGACTCTTTCAAAACCCAACCCAGACATTAAATCCTCTAAGAAGCTTTCCTGTTCCTCCAAACACCCAATTAGCCATATTTTACAATAATGAAACTGAAGCACAGAGAGTAAGCAACTTTCTCTAAGTCATGGGCTTTGAATCCAGTTAGCTCTTAAAACATTCTTCCACGTATTTAATAATCTATGTTGCCATGTATCTGTTTCCAAGTCTTATTCAATATCATAAATCCCTGAAGGCAAAGACCTATCTTATTTGTTCATCTCTATATTCCTGCTACTTTGGGGTCTCAAGCTGAGGGACTTCATTGGTGCTCTCTGAGCCAAGGCAAGGACCACCAACTGTGACTAACCACACCAGAAACTTTCTCATGAGCCTGGCACTGAAGAATCACTGGTGGTCTAGGATATAAGTAAATAAAATACATTGGCCACTGGTAATCATTCTTGAGAAATATCTCCTCATGTGGAGTCTACAACAAAAAAAGAACATCATTCTACAAGCAGGAAACTCCACAAACTGAGTAGGAACTGGAAACTGAACCTTTAAGGTGGAACAACTGAGGCATCATCCAGAAGCAACTCTTTGTTGAAGAAACATAACTCTTGAGACTGCTCCCTATGAGTGAGGAGAGGGTCTGGGAAGGTGAATTACTGCTCTGGGCTCTCTGCAGTGTGTGCTCACTACCCAACACACCAATGGTGGCCAGGAGTCTGAGTCCAGAGTGCAGTTTGGGAATATGAATCAGTCTCTGTCCCTGGCTACAGTATAACCCTGGACAAGTTCTTCAACCTCTAGGTGTTGCAGGATTTATATCTAAAAAACAAGGATAAGAGAGCCCATGCTAAACCATTGTGGTAAGAATTAATGAGTTGGCAAAGTAGCTTAAAATAGGCTTTGTTGAAGAAGAGACAATGGAATGGTAATCAGAAGCAAGGCTTAAATGTCAAGAGGACCAGCCCTGTAAACTCATTTGTGTGCGCATGGGACATGTTCACATTTACTAATACCTGTCAAATTAGTAAACAGCCATTGTGTTTCATGACCACCCCAGATTATGATTTTTAGCTTAGTAACATACTCTTGCTGAATTTATACATCCACAGCACAATAAAAAATTAATTCTCTTAAGACAATTTAAATACACATTTCAACATTTTAAGACATGGTACACTTTAAGAACATAATTCTTTATTTTTTAAAAAATATTTATTTTTTAGATGTAGATGGACACAACACAATGCCTTTATTTTTATGTGGTGCTGAGGATTGAACTCAGTGGCTCATGCATGCTAGATGAGCATGCTACCACTGAGCCACAACCCCAGCCCATAAGAAAATAATTCTTAAAAGCCCTAAAACTTAAGATTAAATGACATAAAAGAATCCAGTTTAAATTGGAACCTAAAGCATCTGAATAGTCCTGTTAGTTTATATGGGTTCTAACAATCAGATAAAAGCCCTGATTTGTTTTTATAACAAACATTATGGATGATGACACATACTCAAAGGAAAGGGAGGAGGAAAAACTATGAGTATGGTTAAAATGACCTCTGTCCCTCTTGAGAGGCTGAAGCAGGAGGATTGCAAGTTTACAGCCAGCCTGAGCAGTTAGTTAGACCCTGACTCAAAGCAAGGGTGTGTGTGTGTGTGTGTGTGAAGAAAGTGACCTCCGATCCCTTTTTTAAAAAACACCTTATCCAAATGCTTTCATTAGGCTTCAGGAACCTGCTCTAGACTTGTGTTAGAAAGAAAGCAGAATTCAAAAGTCAAATTCAAATCTCACTATTTCCCAGACTCCTGTAGGAATGCTAGAGAAAACACGGCAGCATCCTGTGAAACAAAGTGGAGTGAGCAGGTGCCACCTGAGCATCTGGCAGCTCAGTCCAGTACCCCTCTGAGCACTCTCCACCAGCAACCTCCACTCAGAGGGCTGTCATACTGGGTCCATTCTCATCCCACCCTCCACTTGAAGTGGAACAGAGATTTAAACTTTAGCAAAAGGATCCTGAATTTAAGGGTAGTCTTCATCCTGTGGGTATGAGACTTGGTGTCTGAATTCAATTAGGGATACCAAAGGTTAAGATCCTTCTTCGAAACTCTCTTGGATCAGCTCCATTTTTTTTGATTTGGAGGTGAAATGAGGTGATGGGGAGAGAATTTGGAAAAACACACTCTGATTTTGCCCCATGGGTAGGATTTCTACAAAGGGGGACCAACATTCTAGAGATATTAGGCAGGAAATGGTTCCATAAAATGGACATTACCTATGCCTCAGCATAATCTTGAAGGATTAAACAATATAATATTTTGGAGCAATTAACACACTACTAGGCACAGAGGGCCTGATAAGTGTTTACTATTATTTCACTGATACGTACCAATAAAGAAAATAAGCTTCAAGAAAAATCTGTTCACAGACCATTAAGAACTGTTGAAATCCTTCAGAGCTTGCTCATGATAAAACAGAGCAAAATCTGTCTTCTTTTTAAATTTACACCATTTTGTAAGTTACTGTAGCAACATGCAATTGAAATCTTTCTAATGCCCAGCAACCAAATCTTAATATTATTCTGTCACTTAAAACATCTCCTAAGCAAGTGCACAAGTTGAGGTTCATCTATGAAATATGGCCTTCCTGTACTCTTCTGATGTGACATTTTATTATCAGCCTTTTTCTCTCTGAATCTCACAGTACTTTTTTATGAGTTTAGGGTTCCTACTTCTTGAGTTTTAGCTGTTGAAAGCATGTTTGTCAGAGCAAGAGAGTCCTGAAATGGAAGAATAAAGGATTTGGGAGCAGTGGTGCATAACTGCGATCCCAGCTATGTGGGAGGCTGAGGCAGGAGGATCCCCAGTTTGATGCCATCTTGAGCAACTTAGGGAGGGAGGGAAGGGAGGAAGAAAGAAAGGAAGAAAGAAAGGGGGAGGGGAGGGGAGGGGAGGGAAGGGAGGAAGGAAGGAAGGAAATGGTAGAGCAGTGGGTTCAATCCAAAAAAATGAATGAGGACTGGCACTAGTCTACCATCTAGATCAATTACTCTACTGAAGAAATAACTGATGTTTTAGAGACCCAAGCAGATGCAATCAGGTATGATGAGGTAAAAAGCAACTATGAGAAGCTAAAGAAAGCAGTTTTATAAAAAATACCTGAGCTGGAATTATGGCTCAGCGGTAGAGCACTCACCTAGCACGGGCGGGACCTGGGTGCGATCCTCAGCACCACATAAAAATAAAGGCATTGTGTTGTGTCCATCTACACCTAAAAAATAAACATTAAAAAAAAAAACAACAACAACAAAGCACAGTGTCAAAGACACAGCTGTGCCCCGGAAACTCGAATGGCACTGCTACCAAGTTCAATTTGGCGAGACTGTCCTAACTAAAGCAAAACAAATACAGAGGAGACGTCTTCTCTGTTTCAGGACAGTATCATACAGCAAAAAAGGGCAAGTTTTGTGGGAAGACCATGCTATGTAATACACCATGCACATGGCAGGTACCCAGAATTCTCATTTCTATAGAGCGATACCTTTATCTGAGAACTTTTGATGACTGGGCTTCCAGTCATCAGCAGAGGAGGTAATGGGCATACCATATCTGCCTCCTGCACCAGAACAAGGTAGGATATGACAACTGAAGTGGGGTGAGGAATGAGACCACCCTCCTTAATCACAGTTGTATTTTATGGTGGGAATGCAAAGATAAAAATTTTCTTAGTACAGTGGCACTCCACTTAAGAATTCTGTTGTCCTGCTGCTAAAAGCAAATCATACAGAATATTATTTCTCTCAATGGAGAGCTATCTCTTTGCTGTAATGATGTAATATTTTCTTAAAATTTTGGCATTTGCCACTTTTTGATTACAAATATCCTAAATGACAAAATGAATTCATGTTTTAAACAACTTTTCACTGTGCTTAGTTTGCTAAAACTCCTTTTTTGGGGGGGTTTTGTTTGTGGGTATGATTTTGGATTGCCTAATATACAACATTTTATGTCAGAAAAAATTTATCATGTACTTATACATTTTATCATGTACTTGTATTGCTCATTTAAATATTAAAGAGAAAGATAAAAGAAACATTTTCATGCCCTAGGAACTGACACTAACCTTTTCGGTCTCCATTGCACCACTACAACCCTCCTTTAGTTGGCAGTGTTACTTGCCAGGTGAAGTCAATATGTACCTGCTGAATGGGCAGTGAAATTCTGCAGGCAAAGCCAGACTTTGTAAAGTTTATAATCTGGCTGAAGAAGATAAATCTTGAAATTTTGGACAGGTATTCAATTTTTACTTATTTTAAAAGACACATGACTTGACAATGATTTTGTTCATTCTGCTTATCAATATCACTAGAATAAAATAAGCTAATGATAAATTGTCATTCTACTATGAACTGAATGTCTTATAAATGTACCAATGAACATGAAATATGATCACTTTTTTTAAAAAGGCAACTTCATTTTTGAACAAGTTCAGAAAAAAGCAGCTTTGGTTATTTATTCCTTTTAATGATTTCTGTAGTTGACCTTTATTCCTTGTATATCATTCACTTTGGACCTGATTTACTTTAGTTTCTCAGATAGGCAGCAAGGACAAAGTCTTCATTTAGCAAACATTTCCAAATCTTAACATTTTAAAAGTTAACATTTAAAATGAAAAGCCCTCTTAATCCCTAAATCCCCATCATGAATTTACAGTTTAATACAAGTCTATAAATAAATTTGTCCTTTTTCAAAAACCACTTTAAGAAATTTTATAGAATTACAGATTTAAAAAATTTACTAAAAGAAACTAAAGTACCAATCATTTTACTCCTTTTAACACAGGATGCTCAAGCTTCCTGGTAACAGGGCTGTTGGTTAGCATCACCACTCAGCTGTTCCATCAGCATTCTGGCTACAAGGCCTCTCAGTCACTCTTCTCTTCTCCTTGATAATGCCTGTACTCTGGCTTCAGCTCCCACGTATTTTTGTGGATCCCTTTTACATTCTGAATTCCAATTTCTTTCAAGATGTCCTTTAGATATCCCTAAAAAAAAGAAAGAAAAAACTTCAAAGATGAGATATAAAGACAGAAAACAAAAATGTCAAAGCACATTTATGAGTAATAAAAATTATAAAGCTAATAAAAGCTCAAGATTTCTTTATAAAGAGATTAAATAAACTGCCTTTTCTCTTGGTACCATGGATTGAACTCAGGGATTCTTAACCACTTAGCCACATCCCCAGCCCTTTTTTATTTTTATTTAGAGACAGAGTCTCACTGAGTTGCTTAGGGCCTTGATATGTTGCTAAAGCTGGGTTTGAACTCATGATCCTCCCGCCTCAGAGCTGCTGCATGTGCCACCATGCCCAGCTTGCCTTTTGATTCTATACCTATGATATATAACACCTCATTAAATATATGTCATTTGCATCAAAGGGGCTGAACTTCCTAAAAGCAACAATTTGAAAACTTAAAAGGAAAAATAAATATGTCTAGAGGAAAATACACTGGAAATTATTGGTGCTCAGGATTTATTAACATGACCTAATACATCAAGTGTAATTTGCCTGGGAGGTCAATGGCTTCAAGGTCTCAGTTTACAGTCAGATTGGAATCAGTAGTTTTGGAAGCTCCTGCTTCCAAAAAAAAAAAAAAAAAAAAAAAAAAAACAAAAAATAAATATATATATATATTTATTTATAAATATGTATGTATGTATGTATTTTTGGAATAGAAAGATAATATTCAATGAAGCAAACATGTGACAGATATTTAGAATTCTCAGTTCTTTTTTATATTTTTATCTTATCCACACAAGATTTTTGGTAAAAGTATTTTATTTATTATTTAACAAGTATTTTTTTTAAGTTTTCTTTCCTTTTTCCACATTTTTATAGGTGCATTATAATTATAATAATGGTGGGATTTATTGTTATTTATTTGTATATGCACACAATATAGCAATATAATTTGGCCAATATCACTTCCCAGCACCTCCCCTCTCCCTCCCTGCCTCTCACTTTCTGGTCCCTTTCCTCTACTTATCTTCCTTTGATTTTCATGAGATCCCTACAACCCTTCTGTCCTTCTTTTCCTTTTTCCTCTCTATCTTCCCTCCAAGAGAGAACATATGACCCTTGACCACCTGAGTTTGGCTTATTTCACCTATTACTAATATATTATTAATAATTTCTGCAAATGACATATTTTATTTTTCTTTATGGCTGAATAAAACTCCATTGTGTATATATACCACATTATCCATCCATCCATTGATGGTCACCTATGCTGGTTCCAGAGTTTAGCTACTGGCTAAAAACATGGGTATGGGTCTGGGGTTGTAGCTCAGTAGTAGAGAGCTTACCTAGCATGCATGAAGCACTGTATTCAATCCTCAGCACCACATAAAAATAAAAGTGTTGTGTCCATCCACACCCCCCCAAAATATACGTAAAAAACATGGTACACATGTGTTGCTACAATATGATGACTTTCCTCTCCAGAATTTATTATTATTTGTACTCTTGCCATTCTGAGTGGTGAGACAAAATTTCGGTGCAGTTTTGACTTGTATTTCCCTAATTGCTAATGATGTTGGACATTTTTCATATATTTTGGTCACTTGTATTTCTTCTTTTGAGAAGTGTTTGTTTAATTCATTTGCTCATTTATTAATTGGGTTACTTAGTCTTTTGAGTTTTTTATATATTCTAGATATTAATCCATAAGAGTAGGTAGCAAATATTTTCTCCCATTCTGTAGGTTGATTCTCACTTTACATTCCAAATTGTTTTCTTCACTGTGCAGAAGCTTTTTAATTTGATGCCATCCCATATATTAATGCTTGGCATTATCTTTTGAGCTTTAAGGGTCCTACTAAGAAAATCACTGCCTGTGCCTATATGCTGGAGTATTGACTCTATGTTTTCTTCTAGGAATTCATAGTTTCTGATCTAATTCCTTAGGTTTTTGATCCACTTTGAGTTGAATTTTGTGCAAGGTGAGAGTTAAGATTCTGGTTTCATTATTCTATAAATGGATAACTAGTTTTCCCATTACCATTTGTTGAAAAGGCAGTCTTTTGTCCAATGTATGTTTTTGGCACCTTTGTCAAGGATCAGATGACTGTAGATGTGTGGGTTTGTCCCTGTGTCTTCTGTTCTGTACCACTGGTCTATGTGTCTGTTTTAATGCCAGAACCATGCAGCTTTTATTACTATAACTCTGTAGTATAATTGGAAATCAGATTTTGTGATGCTTCCAGCATGGCTTTTAAAAAAAATATTTATTTTTTAGTTGTAGTTGGACATAATACTTTTTAAAATTTTATTTATTTATTTTTATGTGGTGCTGAGGATCGAACCCAGGGCCTCAAGCGTGCTAGGCGAACACTTTACCGCTGAGCCACAACCCCAGCCCCCAGCATGGATTTTTTGACCTAAAATTATATTGGATATTTTATTCCTCCAAATGAATTTTAGGACTGTTTTTTTCTAGTTTTGTGAAGAATGTCACTAGTATTTTTTAAAATACACATATTTTTAGTTGTAGATGGGCACAATATCTTTATTTTATTTATTTATTTTCATGTGGTGTTGAGGATTGAACCCAGTGCCTCACATGTGCAAGGCAAATGCTCCACCACTGAGCTACAACCCTAGCCCCTGTCACTGGTAGTTTGATGGGAATTGCATTGAATCTATAGATTGTTTTTGGCAGTATGGCCATTTTAATAATATTAATTCTGCATATTCATGAACATGAGAGGTCTTTCCATCTTATGAGGTCTTCAGTTTCTTTCTTCAATGTTTTACTGTTTTCATTGTAGAGGTCTTTTACCTCCTCGGTTAGATTTATTCTAAGTATTTTGTATTTTTTGAGGCTACTGTGAATGGAACTGTTTTCCTGATTTCTTCCTCAGCAGATTCATTGTTGGTATATAGGAAAGCTACTAATTTTTGTGTGTTGATTTTGTAACCTGCTACTTTGCTGAATTTATTAACTACAGTAGTCTTTTGATGGGAATTTTTTGGGTCTTCTAAGTACAGGATCATATCTGCAAATAGTGATAATTTGACTTCTTCCTTTCCTATTTTTATAACTTTTATTTCCTTTTCTTGCCTACCTGCTCTGGCTAGAATTTCTAGCATAATATTATATAGGAGTGGTGAGAGTTGACATCCTTGTCTTGGTGCAGATTTCCAAGAAAATGCTTTCAGTTTTCACCATTCACTCTGAGGTTGGATTTGGACTTTTCATATATAGCCTTCCTGATGTAGGTTCCTTCTATCCCTAGTTTCTTCATTGTTTTTATCATGAATGGGTGCTAAATTTTTTCAAAGGCCTTCTTTGCATCTATTGAGATGACAAAGTGATTTTTGTTCTTAATTCTATTTCAGATCAATTACATTTATTAATTTGCATATATTAAAAAACCATCCTACCATCCTTGCATCTCTGAAATAAAATCAACATGGATGTGATGTACAATCTTCTTAATATGGTGTTGAACACCATTTGCTAATATTTTTTAAAATTTTTTATTTTGATGGGCCTTTGTTCATTTATCTATATGCGGTGCTGAGGATCGGACCCAGTGCCTCACACATGCCAGGCAAGCACTTTTACCACTGAGCCAAATCCCAGCTCCTCATTTGCTAATATTTTATTAAGCATTTCTGCATCTAAGTTCATCAGGGATATTGGCTTATAGTTTACTCTCCTTGACATGTCCTTAGAATTCTCAGTTTTAAGGTAGGTTCTCAAACTTGCATACCAGGCTACTTATTTTTCCTGTGTTGAAAGGAAAGTTACTATTTGTGTTAATTATTATTATTATTTTTAAATATTTATTTTTTAGTTGTAGTTGGACACAATACCTTTATTTATTTTTATGTGGTGCTGAGGATCGAACCCAGGGTGCACACATGCTGGACGAGTGCTCTACCGCTGAGCCACAACCCCAGCCCCACTATTTGTGTTAATTATTACATGTAAGTTGGTTAAGCTTGCCAAGACAGGGTGAGAAGTGATAATGAGACAAACTAAAACCATGGGGGCTGCAGCTTTGTGTACCTGGCTCCTCCAAAGGTAAGAGTCCATATTATGGTATTTTAGGGCCCTGAAAATTCAATGGACACATAATGTAATACTAAACCCTCACCTTTTGCTTGTCAGTACCCAAGGTATAAGCATTCCACTGTAAACTGACCAATATAAACTGCAATATTTCCTTCTTACGGAGAAATAAAAATTAATTATTTAAAAGTGATTTAAAAAAAAACCCATCCAACAATAATTTTTGTGTGTATGCTTCTAAGAACCTGTTATAGTATTAAGATGACTCATCCCATTGATGGAAAATGTAATTTTAAAAAAATTAACCGAAATGAGGCACTAATTAGAGAAATGGCCAAGAAGCTCTAGTGGCAGCTTCTCACATATGGTATGAGATTACCTGCATCGGAATCATGTGGGAAGCTTAAGTAAGCACTATTTTGGGCCCAGGAATCTGCATTTTAACAAGTCCCTCATTTAATTACATTAAAGGTCCACTATATCTCCTTTAAGGGTTCTTCCAGTTCTGATACTCCAGGACCCTTGAATCTTTGGTGGATTGCTTAGTTCTCAGTCTCATCCCTACTTAATACTGTGTGTTACCAACATAACCTAACGCCATTTTACACTGATTGGTGTAATGCTGTACAATTCATAAAGTTCTTTCAGTTCATACACTGTCATCTAGAAATATGATAAATGATTAGCAATGGAACCACACACATGTTGCTTAGCAGGAAGGCTCTGATGGCTTAGCTCTCTTGGGCAGCCATTCCCTACCAGCAGCCAGGCTGCCCAGCAGGTGGCAGCAATAAACCAAATGAGCCCAGGGTTCCCCCGCACAGCTCGCCTGCCTCCCACACTTTCTACAGTTGGCTTCACTGAAGGACCCATGCGAATGAGTAAGCATAAAGGATTGAGACACCCAGGTAATGTGCATGTCTGCCATCTGCTACTTCAAATTACATTTAAAAAAGGAGACACTG